AATGGAATATTAAGTAGATTCTAGAGAAGTTGCCAGAATTCTAAGCAGGTAACCCAACGTGGAATTAAAGTGGGTGGTTATTGATGGTGAAATTGGAGGCAGATGTCTGCCCGCATGTCATTTTTTACCCTGCTGTTGTCAGGTTGCTTTTCCAGTGGAGCAACTATTATGCAAAAAAATAATGATGACAAAAGGTGCATATCTCTTTCTATCTGTTGGCGTATGCTTTTCTGTTCTGTATTTGTCATCTCATGAATGTGATTTTCTGTGCTTTAAAGAAAAATGCTTACTTTCTGAAATGATTCAGCAGCAATTGTCAGGTTGGGCAGGTTAAACCGGATTTTCAGCTTTCAGAAACGCATTTCTCACACTGAATTTTGAACACACCCTTTTAAAATAGGGAAGATTATTTTCCCTTAAAAGAGCCTCAGGCCCTGGCTGGTGTGGCTCAGTGGATAGAGTGTCAGCCTGAGGACTGAAGGGTCCTGGGTTTGATTCCCGTTCAGGGCATATGCCTGGGTTTCGGGCCCGATCCCCAGTGGGGGGTGTGCAGGAGGCAGCCAATCAATGATTCTCTCGCATCATTGATGTTTCTATCTCTCTCCCTCTTCCTCCTCTCTGAAATCAGTAAAAACATATTTGAAACAATAGCCTCAGCATGGGTGTGCTTTGAAAGGTATCTGTTTCATTAACCCAGTGAGTACATGTAATTACCCTTCTTGAGAGAATCTGCGGGCGTCTACCTGATGCTTTTCATTTTGTGACTGATGACCTAGGACAGTGACGGCGAACCTATGACACGCGTGTCAGAGGTGACACGCGAACTCATTTTTTTGGTTGATTTTTCTTTGTTAAATGGCATTTAAATATATAAAATAAATATCAAAAATATAAGTCTTTGTTTTACTATGGTTGCAAAGATAAAAAATTTCTATGTATGACACGGCACCAGAGTTAAGTTAGGGCTTTTCTAAATGCTGACACGCCGAGCTCAGAAGGTTCACCGTCACTGACAGGACCAGATTCTCAGGTTTGAAACCCGGCTAATGATGGCTCCTTCCACCTGAGGGGCTCCAAGGGCGCACACACTTGAAATAAATATGTAAAAGTGTGAATGAACTGTGTGAACGACAGAGAGTGCCTAAATGCCAACTTCTATCCCTGATTAACCTTTAATAGTGACTGTTGTTATTAGGCTGAAACCTGATTAATTTTAATTAAATTTTATTAGGGTAAGCCTGATTAATTTGGATTTGACCTATGTAAACAGTTAAAACGTATAGTTAAACGTAACACATTGCGGACGGATCACGAGCATTCTTGTGTTTTCATATTACACAGTGTTTTACATAAATGCTAAAGGCGCGCCTTAAAGTTAAATACCCATTGCATCTTGAAGCTATTTATCACATGTTCTTTTTTTTTTTGGGTGGCCCGTACGGGGATTACATGTTCTTACAAGCCAATATCTTTTAAAAGTGTGATACTTTGTAAAATGCTTTTTGTACTCGTTCAGTAGAAACTTACGTGGCCACTGGGTAGAGCCAGCAGTAAAACAGCTGCGCAGTGTGAAGTAGCTGCAGGAACTCGGTGCTTCCGTGAGGTGCCAGGTCTTAGATCCAGCCTCTTCGGCCTCCGTTCCTTCCTCTGTGAAACGGCGGTGGTGCAGAGGAAGTTATGTCCCCCTGTTACGTGGACGGGGAGCCCAGACGCAGGGTGTGCCGGGGAGGGCAGTGCGCAGGAGGAGGAGCGCACGGGGCCGGGTTGAAGAGCTCCCCCTCCCTCCCTGCACTTGGGGTGCAACGGAGACAGGCTTTCCATCTCACTCATGTGCAACCCGAGACCCTCTCCAGAGGCTGGGTCAGGGCCTGGTGACACAGGTGAGGGAGAGCGGCAGTCCTGTGGCATCCCACAAAGCGGGGGACCTTGGAGTCATGGTAACCGACTGCAGAAGCTGTGTGAGAGGCTGCTAACCCACCTTCCGGAAAGGACCGCATTTGTGAAACCTCAGGGTCTTAGCCGGTGGTTCTGTTTAAACGCGTCGCTCTTGTCAGATTTCCTCACCGTCTCAGGGCGGTTTGAGGACTGAAGGAAAGAACCTGCTTACAGCCCCGGGCACGCCCCTGGCACCTGGCAGAGCTCCAGACAGGGGTTTCTTCGCTTGCAGTTTCTCCCGAGCACCTGGGTCCATGCTCAGAGAAGCAGATGCCGCGCGCACCGTGTGGAGGGGTGGCACTGCCTCTCCGGGAGCCTGGACCCTCTCGTCCTGGCTTCTGTGCCTCGATTCCCCACGTGCCCACGGCTGCCTTCCTGGTGCTGGGGACAGAGCAGCGGAAGCCCAGGGGCCGAGCGCTGTGTGTCCCCAGGCAGCGTTTAGTGGGCACCGTTCACACAGTATGCTTCTTAAAACTGATTTCATTTGTTTAACGTGGTGACTGCCATTTTTCCACCTATTATATTGTTTCAGAAAAATTATGGATAATGTGAAATATAAAATCCCATCAATTATAAAAATAATGTTTAACGTTAGCATTTGGGTACAAATCTGCCATGTTGGAAACAAGAGACTGTAAGAATGGAAACCCTATTCGGGGAGACAAAACACTACGGTTGCCCTGTGTGGAACAGCCATGCCCGGAGCAGGCGCGGGAGGACGTGAGGGGACACCTGTGGCGCGCACAGCGGTCAGTCAGGAGTGCGGTGTCTGAGACACGTTGTCTGTCTTTTCAGAGAAAGGCTGGGACTGGTACGTGTGTGAAGGCTTTCAGCACGTCCTGTATCAGCAAGCAGAGGCCTTGAAGGCCCTGGGGGTCGGCCCAGAGTTAAAGGTGAGTCCCTGTGTGCCTAGATCAGCCGTGGGCAAACTACGGCCCCCGGGCCGGATCCGGCCCGTTTGAAATGAATAAAACTAAAAAAAAAAAAAAGACCGTACCCTTTTATGTAATGATGTTTACATTGAGTTTATATTAGTTCACACAAACACTCCATCCATGCTTTTGTTCCGGCCCTCTGGTCCAGTTTAAGAACCCATTGTGGCCCTCGAGTCAGAAAGTTTGCCCACCCCTGGCCTAGATATTAGCTTTCCGTCTTGTTCGAAGAACAGTAAGATTTAGAGTGAAACTAACCAGTAATAACAGGAGGGCTTCGGGAGAATCTTTCTTCTGATGTTTTTGCTTTAGTCTTTTTATTAGACCAGCAATTCCCACACTACATTCTCCAGGATGTGAAGAAGCAATACATCTAAGAGAAAACAAAAGTGTTTACTCATCATGTACTTAGGAACCATTGACTTAACCGATGTAAAACAAGTAACTTTGCAAGCTTCCGGCTGCCTTTCATGTGGCCGTGTGCTGGTTCCGTTCCCCGGGGCCTGGGGACAGGGTGGGCCGTGCTCGGGGTTTGAGACAGAAGCCGGGTGGGTGGCCTCCAGCAGGATTTGAGTTCCAGATGCTCCCTGGGGAGCGAGGCATTAGCCAGCGGTTCTCCACGTGGGTTTGTGTCGGAGCCGGGAGGGCCTGTGAAAGCACAGGCTGCTGACCCGTCCAGAGCTGCTGGGGCAGGAGGTGTGGAGTGGCCCAAGGAGTGGCCTTCTAGCAAGTTCCCACGTGACCTGATCGGGCAGGTCCAGGGCCCATCTTTTGACCTTGCTGCCTCTCAAGAGGGACTTTTCTATTATTTGAATTTCGTATTTCCCCATCTAGTTGAAGCCTTTTCAGAAATTGTGTAGAAGCCAGTCACTGAGCACCGTGGTTACTGCACACCTTCCTGCCCATCACGGGGAGCCTAGCTGGAGAGGGGGGTGCGTGACCAGTCCGATCCCGGTGCTCACAGCGACACGAGGGCAGAAGGAGAAGGAAGACGGGGACCGAATCGCCAAGGGGAGATGGGGAGGGGGCTTTGCTGGTGGGGCAGCCGCTCAGGTGACTAGACCCGGTGTGGCGAAGGGGCACTGCCTGTGCTGGCAGAGGCCACTGTAGGAACTAGAAACCCAGCATCTGAGGCCTCGGGGCGCCTGCCCGCAGTCAGTGCTCAGTCCGGCTGCTGGTGAGGGAAGTAGAGCCGCAAGGCGAGGGCGCCGTCCAGCAGCACAGCGATGCTGTGGGTGAGATGTGCTGGGTACTTGTCACCAGACCACAGATCCCCACTCGTTTCCCTTCCGCCTCAGAATCAAGTTCTGCATAATTTTTGGAAGCGCTACCTGCAGAAGAGCAAGCAGGCGTATTGCGAGAACCCAGTTCATGCCAGAAAGAGGAAAGCCGCGGTGAGTCACGGGCAGGACCTGGGCAGGGACCCTCCGGGAGACGCCGAGGTGAGGACGGGTCCGCCTCCGGGGTTTATGGTGGTGAGGAGTTAAGTTCATGGGAATTATTGCAATTTAATTTAAAATTCCTGTGCAGTAACCATGTTGTTTTGCGATAGGTCCTGGGCAGTCCGAGTCACTCGGACTGGGAGAGCGAGCCTGCGCTGCTGAGTGACGCCAGCGGCCCTTTTGTTGAAAGTGACGGCCCCCGGAAGCCTTCCCCCCCCAGCAGAGCATCCCACTCAGGTAACGGAGCCTCGCTGCCCAGGGCGGGAGCTGGTGGCGTCCGGAAGGAACGCAGTCCAGTCTCCTTGCTCCAGGAAAGGAGGTGGGCCCAGCAGAACCCCACGCTGAGCAAAAGGCAAAGGAGCGAAGTCTCAGTGTCGCTTCATGGAGGACACTGTCCCCACAGGAACACTGCTGTGTGATGTCGGGAGGGAGCCAGACAGGAAGTGGGTCTAGAAAGATGGAGGCCAATTCAGTAAAGATCGACATGTGTGGGGGCCCAGGGTTTCCCCAGAAAAGCCGCTGCAGAGCATCAGAGAACTTAGCCCCTGGTCGTCGGGTAGACAGGTGTCAAAGAGGACGTGCCCCGTTTCTAAGCACAGACTAAAGCAGGCGGAATGAGCCCATGGTACATGTGTGTGTACCGGATTTTCCGACTTAATTCCACGATTGTACCCGGGGGAGAGGCTGAGCTACTGGTCCTTCCCTTAGCGGATCCAGCATTCCCACCTGGGAACCCGCCCGGAGCTGATCGGAGTTTCCAGAGCACTCTCTGTGCGCCTCCTGGTCGGAGGGGTCATCCTGGCTGTTCTGGAAAGCGGCGGGAAGAAGAGGGTCGAGAGAGGGGTGTCTCAGGACTCCACACGTGACCTTTCACTTACTCCCCCGCTTTCATCAGATGCCCAGCTCAGCTGTGAGTGTGACTGAGGGTCCCTGTCCCAGAGGAGAAACTTCCAATGTCCGGCCAAGATTGGGGCGGGCAGTCCCGTGGCTGTGGCGCTGGGTGCGAATGTGATCAGACTCCAACAGTCCTGGGGTCAGCCCGACGGTCGCTGTTGCCAGGGGTCCCTGTTGAACCAATACCTCACCCTCTTTAGAGGCCCCAGGGCAAAGTCATCCGCCGTGGCTTCGAGTCCCGCTGTCTCAGGACCGCTAAGGCGCAATCGCCTGTCCAATGCTTTCCAGCTTCCACACTGTGCTGCTCTGCTCTCCTTTCCACCTGTTTGTTCTTGGGTTACCGTTTTAAAATGGCCTTTATCATTGTTTAGTTTAGTGAGACAGGGCAGACGCTAAACAGCAGGTTTCCAACCTGCCATCTTAACGGGAAGCTCCTGCGAGTTGTCACGTGTGCAGATCATAGTGTCATACGTACTTTATGGGATCTGTGGCCTCGTCTGTCTTGTAAAGGAGTCATCCTCCATCTGTGGCATCCTCAGGCCCCTGCAGGCTTGTTGGACAGGTTGGTGCAGCTCCTCGGGGCTCAGGCGTCCCCAGTACAGCTGGTCCAGGGACGATGCTTTGAGAACCACAGATTTGAATGCCTCTTTGGATTTTACTATTTTCCTCCTTTTGTCCCCTAAGAAATGGCCTCCATCTGCTCCGGGTCTCTTGATGGAGTCGAGTACTCTCTGCGCAAGGAGAAGGGGCTCGTGAAGATGACCATGCCCGCGACCCTCGCTCTCTGCGCCCTGTCGCTGCTGTGGCAGCGGGAGGCGCTCGCCCTCTCCGACCTCCTGCGGTAAGCGGCCTTGGAGCATGTGGTCTCCTGTGCGGACCAGGGACAGCGTGGACAGTGTGACTTACGAGGCTTGCATTGAGGAAGGGACTGGAAAGACTGGGCAACCGGGTTCCAGTTCTGTAACTCAATCCTCCCTGGGCTAGTCACTCCCCCTTCCTGGCTCCTTATTCATAAAGTGGGAATAATAGTACCTGCCCGGCGTGGGCGTGGGGAGTGAGTGACCCTCTGTGAGTAAGCCGCTCTGAAGAAGAAAAGTGACACTCAGGTATAGTATTAGTGGTGTTGTTTCTAAGGAAGGAGATGAACAGATGACTTTACATTGGCAAATGGTTACTAATGGAGTTACACAAGAGCTAAACATAGGCTGCCTGCGTTTATATGTGAAATTGAAACACAGCTGGTGGAAGAACCTGTTATGCAGATAGCTGGCATTTACATTTTCCAAGATAATCTGCAGGCTTTCTGGCTAATGAGGAAATTAGGGCATGTGCTGAGGATCTCTCATCGCAGCCACGACGGGCCCATCCATGTGTCCCTGCTCCCCTTGCTCTGTGTTCTCATAACGTGGGTGTAGTCGGCGTGTGGAGTGGGGTAAGAGCATAGATTTAGACCGCACTCCTGGGTGCTGCTGCTCTGTGTTATGTGGCCTTGAGTAAATTTCATTTTCACTTTTCTCTGCCTCTGTCTTCTTGTTGTAAAGCAGGAATAACACTATTTACCTCGCAGGGTTAGGGTTGCAGCTGCTTCAGTACTTCGCACATGCAGAGCACGTAGACCAGGCCTGACACAGGAGAGCAGTGCTGTTATCGTGGCTTTGTCATCTTCCTTTCTCTCCTCCTCCTCTCCCTCTCCTTCTTCTTTGCCACCACCATCGTCCTTGGCACTCGGCCCTTTGATTAAATAAAACGCCTCCAATGACTGATGCTAGCACCTTTGAATTTGGCCACATCAACCAGATAACAAGGCTTTTCTCAGGGTGATTCCCCGCACGCAGATCGCCCATGGCTCAGGGACTTGACTGTGAAGTTGAAACCCCGTCTTGCTCTGTCTGCCCCCTGGGGTGACCTCATCTTCTCCCAGGGCCCTAATTACCGCCTCTGTGGTGATGACGCCCGAGTCTACATCTCCAGCCCAGACTTGTTTACTGAGGGCGGGCCCATATGTATCACACAGGAGGCCGCGGGAAGGCCACTCCTGGACCGTCTTCGCGGTATCTCAAGATCAGCATGACCCAATGAGGCTCCTCGTCTTTCCCCTCAGCCAGCTCCTTCTCCATCCAGCGTTTTCTGTCTTCCAAACGCCCCGCCTCTGGCATCCGATCCAGCAGCCTAGGAATCAGCCTCGACTCTTCCCTCTCCAGGCACACACGTCCCGTCAGCCAGACTTGCAGAGTAACTCTCAAAACCACTTTCCTTCCTCCCCATCCCCGGTCTGTCTTTACCTGGATGGCTTAGCAGCCTCCCAGGTGAGCCCTGTGCTGCAGTCTGTGCCCTCTCCCCGCGTCCTCCCTAACCACAGGGACCTTAGGGACAGCAGTCTCGTCACCTGGGGACGCAGGCGCAGGCTCCCCACCCTCCCAGGGCGGCTGGAGAGGCTCGCAGAACCCGCCAGGAAATCTAACGAGACGGAGAGAAATAGCTGCCCGAAGTTCTTCTTGAGGAAGTTATATGTGGTTGGGAGATCCAGGATGAAATCCCAACCTTCGTCTCTTTCTCTCCCCGGCTCTCTTCCTCCTCCCTCTCCCTTCCTCCTCCTCCTCCCTCCTCCTCCCTCTCCCTCCTCCTCCCTCTCCCTCCTCCTCCCTCTCCCTCCTCCTCCCTCTCCCTCCTCCTCCCTCTCCCTCCTCCTCCCTCTCCCTCCTCCTCCCTCTCCCTCCTCCTCCCTCTCCCTCCTCCTCCCTCTCCCTCCTCCTCCCTCTCCCTCCTCCTCCCTCTCCCTCCTCCTCCCTCTCCCTCCTCCTCCCTCTCCCTCCTCCTCCCTCTCCCTCCTCCTCCCTCTCCCTCCTCCTCCCTCTCCCTCCTCCTCCCTCTCCCTCCTCCTCCCTCTCCCTCCTCCTCCCTCTCCCTCCTCCTCCCTCTCCCTCCTCCTCCCTCTCCCTCCTCCTCCCTCTCCCTCCTCCTCCCTCTCCCTCCTCCTCCCTCTCCCTCCTCCTCCCTCTCCCTCCTCCTCCCTCTCCCTCCTCCTCCCTCTCCCTCCTCCTCCCTCTCCCTCCTCCTCCCTCTCCCTCCTCCTCCCTCTCCCTCCTCCTCCCTCTCCCTCCTCCTCCCTCTCCCTCCCCCCCTCTCCTCCCTCTTCCTTCCTCTTCCCTCTCCCTTCCTCCTCTCCCTTCCTCCTTCCTCTCCCTCCCTTTCCCTCTCCCTTCCTTCTTCCTCTCCCTTCCTCCTTTCTCTCCCTTCCTCTTCCCTCTCCCTCCTCCTCCCTCTCCCCCCATCCTCCCTCGGTCCCTCCTTCCTCCCGGGGAGCTGGCAGGCCTCTCTGCTCACACACAGGTCTGGGGACCGAGCTCAGCTGCTGGGAATAAAGGAGAAGAGCGTGTCCTCCTCATCCTCCGCTTTCCTCAGGTTCTCAAAGTGTGTCCCCTGGCACCTGTGAGAGAGGCAGGGCCTTGGGCCCATTCTCACCTTCTCACCCAGCCGCCTGGGTGGGCCTGTGAGCTCTGCTTTCCTAAACCCCCAAGAGACTCCTGTAGATGCTAAACTGAGAGCTACTGCCAGACTGTGAACAAACAGCTAAAGGACACTGATCTGAAAAGAACACACAGCGAGCCTGGCTACAGCCCCTGCGTCTCTCACTGACCCCACGCGTCACTCCCGTTAAATCCCGTGGTCCTCGGGATGAACTCATCACCCTTCCGGTGGCCTTCAGAGCACCCTGCTTGCCCAGCAGCGACGGGAATAAGTGAAGATAGCCAACACTGTTCAGTCCACAGATGCTCACTGAATATTGATTGCATGCAGGGGTTACTCTGGAGATGCCATGTAGATCGAGTCCCTGCTCTCACCAAGTCCCAGGCTCGAGGCAGGAGCAGATGAGCAAGGACCTGACTGTAAAAGCTGATCCTGAGCAAAGTGCTTGCAGGAGACGGGAGCTGGTGACGTGACAGTGACTGGCCAGCTGCCGGGACTTGTCGACAGGGAGGCCTCACTGTGAGGGGCTGAAGCCGCACTTTCAGTGAAATAGAGCCGGAGGCGGCTCTCAGACGTACTGGCGCTCGGCAGGGGGAGGTCGGTGCCCAGCCCCAGAGCTCCGTGCGGTCAGGAGGAGGGGGCCAGTGGACGGAGTGAGCGAATCTGGAGGAGTCAGAGGGTGGGGCCAGGGGCCTAGTCAGCAGAGGTCAGATATAGGTCTTCGTTAGCCTAGTTAGGGGGTTGGATGCTTTTAACTGAGATATAATTCATATCCAATAAAACTCATCCTTTTCAATGCCCGTCAGTGGTTTTCAGCACATTTACAAGGCTGTGCAGCCATCTGTTTCCACAGCAAAGGACACGCATGCTCAGTAGGAGTGAGACAGTGAGGCCCTGGGAGATGAGCAGGAGAGGCAGGCCCGGTCACTCGGGCAGCGGGAAGGTGGGCCCCCGGAAGGCACGGTGGGGCTTCCAGAAGGACTGGGGCTGGGCCTGGGCGGTGGGGATAGGAGTGGAACCAGGCGAGTAGGTGCAGGAGAGGTTTTGCAGGTAGAGTGCTCAGCTCTAATGCAGTGCCTCTCACATCTGCGATGAAGAACCCGTTTGTTAAATTTCCAGCCTGGCACCAGTGGAGACTTTTGAAAAATGTAATAAAATCATGAATGGAGACAGTGTTTCCAGGACCTTGTCTTTGAAACACAGATTTCCAGCTCTTGTGATTACGTTGCTAAATCAGTGCATGTCTCCTATTGAAGCTCTTTCTTTTAAAACAGTTTTGTCGAAGAGGGCCATATCCCTTACGTAAATGCTTTTGAGCATTTTCCGGAAGAGATGAGACTGTACGGGCGCGACAAAGGAATCTTTGCTATAGAGGTGAGCTATTTTCTCTTTTTAGCTTTGTGATCACGAATAAGACACAAGAATAGTATACAACTTTAAAAGTTCAATACAGAAACCGTTAAGTAATTTCAAATTTCCTAACAGGTGTTTTTTGTTATTGTTTGTAAACTATGTTGCTTTGGAGAAAGTTATTATCTTGTTTCAAGAGGCAGTATTGTAAGTCCTTTGGCATGAGTCCTGGACCTGTTCTCCGATGGCCCCTGTGGAAGGGCTTCTGTCCTTTAATCATGAGTCTGTATCACTGTTTATACTGCTCAAAGATTATCTTCCCTCTTCCATCGTCTGAAGGCTTTCCGTTTACTAAATATTATTAAAATTCAGCAGTGTCTCCCATTTGCCCACTAATAGGCCTTCCTGATCTTCCCCACTGTCCCTGATTGTAGTTTAACTTGAGAGACATTTGTAATCCTTACAAACCTGGTCTGGTAATTATTTCACTTGACCCCGTTTGCGTACGAGCAGACACCTCAGGAAGCTGGAGTGTTTTGCCCGGGTCATGCGGTTGGTGGTCCCCGACTTGGAACTTTTGTACTCAGGCCTTATGCTCATTGCATCATCTTTTGCTCCGTTGCCTGCTGTTCTGCCTCCTCCTCACGCGCGTTCTCAGAACCCTCACGTGGGTGCTGTGAAAATATAACTGGCACGTGCTGTCGAGGCACTGAGCCAGCAGGAAATGGAGACCCCGTACAGAAGCTTGCAGGTTGCTGACCATTTTACACCTGAGGTGGTTAAATGCTAGCAGCATTCTGCATCGGACTAGAATATTGGTCACTGTGAATGGTTTAGAGAACATTCGATTTGTTCCTGAATTTGTGATGTAGAGAACCTTAGATTTGTAAACCAGGTGGCTCTACCCTCAGGACAACATGAGCGAAGCAGCTCCCGTGACGGGGCCGCAGTGCTGGCTGGGAGGTGGGCTCCCAGGGATGGTCCTGTTCCCTTAGACCAGCCGTGGGCAAACTACGACCTGCGGGCCGGATCCTTTTATGTAATGATGTTTACTTTGAATTTATATTAGTTCACACAAACACTCCATCCATGCTTTTGTTCCGGCCCTCCGGTCCAGTTTAAGAACCCATTGTGGCCCTCGAGTCAAAAAGTTTGCCCACCCCTGCCTTAGACGCAGGAGAGAGAAGGCAGTGCCCAGGGCTCACCCTGGCCCACCCGTGGGAAGCGTGAGGAAGGAGGGTATAGCGGCAGCCCCTCCTGACCTGGAAAAACAAAAGATCCATTAGTAGTGGGAGTGCTTGTTATGTACCAGGCCTGTTCCAAAGACTTTGTGAGCTCATTTGTTATTCATACCAACCCTCTGAAGTACGTAGTAGCATTGTCACCCCTGTGTTACAGACACAGACAGAGATCCTAGGTACTTGCCTGGTGTTCTCACTCTGAGCGTAGTCTGGCGTGGCTCAGGCAGCCCCAGTGTGGAAGGAGACAAAAATGAGGGGCCATACCAAACAATGAGACGGGGCAGGGAGCAACGGGCAGGAATGGGAGGAGGCTGCTGGGGCCAAAAGGGGGCTCCAAACTGGTTCCTGAAACCAAGAGGTGGGGCTGTGGCAGCGATGGCAGCCAGGACAGAAAGCGGGGGGCGGAGGAGCCAGCTGGAGGGGGCTGGTGAGGAGGGACGGGGTGGGGCGGGGTGGGGCGGAGCGGGGGGAGATGCGTACCTGCGTCTGCAGGAGGCACAGGCGGCTGGCTGGAGCAGCCTGCGGAAGGGTGCACCTTATGGAAGGCAGCCAGTCTACCTCTCGCCTGGGCAGGGCTGCGGTCTCTGACTTAAAGGACTGGGGACAGAGGACCCGTCTGCTCTTGCAGGCGGCACTCCAGGCCCCAGCTGCTTGTCAGTGACGTGGTGAACGTGGCTGGAGTCGGGGAGGAAGGCCGGGGTACCAGGTGCACCTGACCCTCAGGAGGCCTCACGTCTGGGAGGAGCGTAGCACCAGCCCTGAGTTTCGGAACTAGCCGGACTCAAGGTCATTTGGGTTTTCATCTTTTCTAATGGCATCCGTGCTCAAGGCCACAGAAGTGTGGGCACTGCTGATGCTGCCCTGAAACTGTCGCATTGAAGCTTTTCTTAGAAGAATTGGTTTTAAAGTCTGTATAACTCACTAATTAGTCATTTTAAACTTAGCTGCCAGAAATTGTTCATGGCCAGCCATCCGAGCCCTGTTTAAATGCTCTGCTCAGAGGAAAAGACGCCTGGTTCAGTGACTCCAGGTGTGTGTGTGTACATTTATTCCACTTTCCTAGAGGAACCAATGGAACTGAGTTATCATTTCTGTGTTAATTACCAGCTTAGTTTTGGTAAATAAAAAATTCTGTCTTTCCTCTGGCTCCCTCCCCTCCTCGTCCCTCTCCCCTTCTCTCTCTCCTCTAAATCCCTAGTATATTCTTTATCTTACATCCTAATTGCCGGGGGTTTAGCCTGATTTCTCAGAGCCATTCACCATTCAGTTGAGTACGTTGATAATTTGCTTGGTTGAGGTGATTTGTACTCTTCTGGTGCCTAAAGTTGTTACTTAGTTGTCTTTAACAACGTTAAGCTTCTCGGGATGGACCCCAGAACTGTTAGTCCAGTCCTGGAGTACGAAGGCTGGGAGAAGCGTAGAGAGTATTTAGTTTACTTTTCTCGTTTTTCCGATAAGGAAACTGTCCTAACAAGAAATGTGAGTTGGGAATAAACAGACCTCTGCTTCATCGGGGTGCTAATGAGGATTATTTGCGATAATAGATTCAAAATGCAGGCATATCTCGGCTGGAAAAGCTTTTTCTCTAAGGTGAGGATACAGGGGTAACCACGCTGCTTGGAGGAGGAAAATGTATCATTTCTGGAAGCAGAGTTTCATTTTAAAAGTCCATGAAGAGAAAATTAAACCTTGGTGCCCATGTCCGGATTTCCTCAGAGCAGGTCCCAGGAAGCCGAGGGATGTGGCTCTTCCTCCTCGTTGCGACATCTCACAGTTTTATTCCCGCCACTCAGCTTCCTGCGAAGGATGGTGCTTCCGGGACTCGGGTTACGTGCTTGGGATGGGCACCTGACCACTAGTGCATTTTGGATGCAGACCTTTGGTTTCGCTCTGTATGTACGCTCCTGGACACTCACGTTTCTAAAAATGTGTTCTCTGTGCCCTTTCCAATAGGAATGGGCCCCATTGTGGCCAGTGTGTGATGACTGCAGCCTGACAGGCGGGTGCGGAGTCCGGAGGCTGTGCTGTGCGCTCAGTGAGGCCGGGCACTGCCTTCCGCGGGCAGTGTGGTCAGGAGTGCCTGCAGCTGCTGTAGCCCCGTGTATTTCTGGTGATGACTCAGGGTTCCAGCCTGAAATACTGTGTTCTCAGTAGCGGACCTAATCTAAACTGTTTATTGCCCCTCTTTGGGGCAATCATGGAGCCCCCCGCCTCCTCCCATCGATCTCCTGGGCCCCCCTCTGCAGGCCGATGTCCCTCTGCGGGGTGATCATGGGGTGATGGTGGCCCCTTGACCAGTCACATTGCACCCACCTTGGCTGGCCTGGCAACAGTGCGTGTCATAGCGTGATCGTCCAGATGGTTGCTTTGCTGGTCAGTCGATTTGCATATTGCGCTTTTATTATTATAGATATCTTTTTCCAGTCTTTTGTATTTAACCTAGGTCTTTATATTTAAAATGGGTATCTGGTAGATAATATGTAGTTAAGTCTTGTTATTTTTTAACCAGTCTTATAATCTCTGCCTTTTAATTAAAGCGTTCAGGCATTTATATTTGATGGAATTCTAAAGTTGGTTGGGTTTACATCTACCATCTTAGTATTGTTTGTCCCATGTAGTCGTTACTCCTTTTTCTCCCTCTTTTCCTTCTTTCTTTTGGATGAAGATTTTTTGGTTTCATTTCTCTCCAGTGTTGATTTGTTAGTTACACCTCTGGTGCCCTGCCTGCAACTTACAGAGACTGTCTCCTCCGCTCAGCCAGACCCCGGGCCCCTCACTGCTGTGCCAGCTTGGAGTCCGCCCCCGGCAGTGAACGGCCGTTTGTTTGCTCGGAGATTAGCCCCGTGCTTCCTACTGGCCAGGCCGGGAACTGTTATTTTATGTTTTCTTCCAGTTCTCTGATTGTCAGTTTCTGATTGTCTATTTGGAAGTAGAGTCAATAGTCAGATTTTTCTCTTAAATGCCTAAAGTATCTCATTGCTCATTTATTATTGGGTTTTAAAAAAATTGCAATCTCCATTCATGAATATTGTCACTAGTCTAATCTTTGCTTTAAACATTTCCCCCAGCTGACCATGTTATTGGTTATGGGCTGTTGTTCACACAGAATTCTTTTCCTAGTAATAATTTCTTTTGTTGGCTGTTTCTAAGTTAATGGTGAGTGCGGGGACCGGGTGAAATAGGTGAGCAGTTTCTTACAGACACTGTGGTAGAAAGTACAGGCTGAAGACATAATGTCCGCCCTGGATCTTGCTGGGATGCCGGTTACATGTTGTGCCTTCGTAACAATAACCATTGCACTTTGCCCTTTTCACTTACATCTTGAAGAGTTTTTCTTTTTGTAAGTAAACTTCATTTTGGAAAAATTTTAGATTTACAGAAAAGTCGCAAAAATACAAACAATACAAAAAAGTACAAGGAACACCTATATGTCCTTTGCCCAGATTCAACTGTTGTTAACATTTCATCCCATGGGCACTCACTTTATTACATAGCTTACAGGATGTTACATGTGTTCTTCTGTGTTTCCAAGGTTTTAAAGGCAGCTAGAGGTGTTGTCTAAATAGGATTTCTGACCCAGAGGAGCAAAGCCAGTGTGTCATGCCTGGCTTATTCCTGTATGCCTTGCACCCCTATACTCTTTGAGAGTAGGGACCACATTGAATGCTTCTTACCATAGACCTGGTGCAGTTCTGTACACCTGGTCAGGACTCGGTCTGCGTTACTTGAAATAGCTAAAGAAAACAGGATACGTTTAAATACTTTATTTTTAGAAGATCGCAA